CTAGGGTAGTTGCATTCCATCCAACGGAGTGTCTGAAAGCGATAGTGCTGAGAGCTACTAGTTAATTTCCGCCTGATTCATATAATGTGTAAAGCATCCTCAAAGTTGGAAGGTTTAAGTATTCTAATTATGAACGTCGAGTTTCACGTTATAATGCAGTTTTATAGAAAACCGACCGTTGGAGATTAGTTCACCCAGCTAGTATGCTACAAACACAGTCACTCCTGATAGCTAAGCAGTTCTGGTAATATATCATCAAAATCGTTCGCACAGATGCCAGACTTCCATGCTGAACTTACCGCGGTTGTGCTATTCGATCCTATTTGCCCTTATGTCCAGCCGTAAGCAATGGATCCTGGTTAATCAAGTGTCCTCGATCAATGCTGACCAATGAACCAATTAAAACACGAGCGCTTATGGCGCGATCGGTACAATGAGTATTGATCAACTATGGCCTAACAGTACTGTGTCCAAGTTAAGATCGATTGGAATGAACCAGTCTAAGCGGACTTTTCGACAAACGGACGATCTTCACTATAAATGGTGAGTTGGAGTTCCACGACCTACTTTATTCAATAACTAACTTGATGGCGATTATTCTTGTGATTATTATCAATAGTTTTGTAGCTATTTCATTATTGCTTTATTGAAACACAGGATAGACTTACTGTACTTGTTGAAGAGGTAACTTCACACGTTAAACCTACCTCGTTTATTAGCGGCTACGGCAGCCTCCTACCACGTTGCCATCGGCTATTATGATCACTTTGGTATTCATTATGCACCCAGTATAGAAACCCAATGCTTACTAATACATGAAGACAGTTTTTGACTTTCGGTCCACAATTTTGAGAGCGGTCAACACTGGAAAGCTGTCAACTTCAAACACAACCACATAGCTTGGGCAATCAGCGGATTTGTTCGAAACGCACAGTGGTTCTCAATGAGAGTTCATGTCGTAGCGCCAGGATACAGCGGTCCTGCGAACACATACAAATGCATCGTTGACCGCTATGATGGATATAGGATGCAGAGTTTGGTAGCCGCCTGGTTAAGTCATCTATCAACGTCTACAATATCCGGAGTTCAACTCCCGTCACTAAATATCCCTGCCAGAAAAGTGCAAACAGCACTATCTGAAGTTGGCCAATGCTATCAAAGTATGTAGATTGGAAACTAATGCCACAATTCCCATGGGAAGATCACTGACAGAAAGCACCCAAAAGTAACTGGAGTGAGGCGCAAACTTACTGAAGAGAAGGGGCAACCGCAAACCGGGTAGGCATATTAGCAATTGACCTAGACACATTAAAATGACCCTACCTTGGACTTAGATTACGCTTACTGAAAAGCGCTGGTCATGTTGGAAGTAAGCAGTCAGTTACTTGTCTCGTACTGAACTAAGTGCACATTCTTTGATTTCATACGTATAGTCTGGCTATAGCGCAGTGTGCATTGGATTCCTTCTAGTTAATTCATGACTTCACCCATCCTCTGTCTACCTCAGTTTCGAATGCAGAGTGTAACCTTCCCTTACTCGGGCTGTGGCACAAATGACCCATCAGACAAGGAGTTAGGAAGTGAATTTAGCCCTCACTCTTCTTAATTGCGAGCATGTAATGAATCCGATAAGATGTATCCTTACACTTACTTCTAAAATCGTGCGTGACACAGCGTCGCAACAAATGCGGTGAACTGCAAGCACTATCACCCTTTGACATCACAGTTTTCATCTGTCCGGTAGTCACTAGCATCTCAAGGTAACAAAATCCTGTCTCACCTGTCCCAGGTAATGTACACGTCTGGCACGCCATTCCATAGAACAAACACGGTAGGTTGTAGCTTCGTCGTTTGACAATTAAGCAGCTCTCCAATTAGTGCTAAGTCCACAGTCACTCAGAGGTCACCTGAGTTTCCATACGGCACGATGCAAGCGTCATTATCAGGCTGACCATTTAGTAATGAGTACGGGGTTCGCAGCAATTTACTCTACTGGATTGTGCCTTTCTTGCATACCTCGGCAACACGCTTATTTTGGTGATCATTGTGATCGTGGTAAACCGGAGATGAAAGAGGAAGGCTAACAGACTACTTTTTGTGCCTGGTAGTAGAACATTAACTGACAAGATACCGATGTCCTAGGTTTCATTCTTAGAGTTCACTGAGGACCACGGACCTTCCGAAGGCTATGTAACCAGAATCATGTCTATGAGGTATAATATCTCCGACTTCTTCAACAATGTCTGACTCCTGTCTGACGCCACTTGCAAAGAAGAGATGGAGAACAAGCCAGTAACTACAAAAACTACCCAGGTTAAATGATGTTCTACAATAAAAACACACAGACAGCACAAACGGCAAAACATCCGAAGTTAATCGCCTCCATATCCTGACCACCTTCTAACTTGACTGTTTCCATTGCTGGAACGTCCAACATGTAGATCGTATGGATCCAGACCTCTTTGTGTTGACCACTTTGGTCCCGTCTCTTGAGTGATTCATTTTACAGAGGTTTTACTTACTAAAAGCGGGTGATTTATGCACTGAGATTGTGTTAGAAAATCACAATGGTTTTGATCATTGGCGACTCATGAAGCTGGTTTGTGGCAGTTCCTTCAAATGTCTTGATACTGTAGATGTGGATGAACTCAATGCTGAGTCCTGCTCCTCTCCAGAGTGTATCTTTTTCTTGGCCTCCTTCACCAGTACAGGTCGGGTAGTGACCCTTTACCACACTGATGTTTAGAGAAACACAACATATTAAAAATAAATAAGGTTACTGGCCATGATGAATTGTCACCACTTGCTCTAGAGGAGTGCGCAGATCATCTCGCGGAACCTATAGAGGTTGTTTTCAATCAATGTCTTTTGAGTGACCCTATTACTGGTATTTGGAGACCGGTAAAATAACCCGTGTGTTTCAGAAGGAATCCCGGGGCCTTCGTCCGCTTGTATGCACATTGAGGATATTGCAGGTCACCAGAAAAATAGTCGTCCTTCAGATTTCCAAATGCATCCATGCAAAAGAAGTTTACCCATTCACTTATAAACCTAGTTACTGTACACAAGAGGCAGTACCGTGACTTGTGCATTCCGTAGCATCTAACCTGTCTCTTGACTATTCAAATGTTTTCGGTAGCGTTAACAGGTTAATCCTGTTCTTATGGAGGAATATCTGATTTAGAAGATATTACGATAAGACCCCAAATTGCAACCTATATCTGCTTGTGTTGACAGTGTTCAGACACTCGCGCACCCCTGGTCAAGAGTAACTCTGTGTCCATGAATAGTACCGCTGTGTAGTCCTGGTAGCAACACAGTTCCTTCCGAGTGGTATACAACCTGCGGCATGTGATTGCGAGACCGGAGTGACATAGTGACGAGTTCATGTACACAAAGACTGCATATACCTCTCAGCGAGGGTAATAAACTCTGTAGCTGTCAAGACAGCCGAATGTTCAACCTTGTCCATTTGGACAGTCAGATACATCAAAACCGTTCTTCATCGAATAGCTACAGACATACACAGGTTGAAGTGTGCGCCTATGCGTAAACAATATGTGCAGACTTTCCAAAAGTGGAAACACAGACGAACTCGGCTTACTGGCTGTGGCTGGCTCGTTGCCATCCTAAATTGGATTTACTTTGGTACTGCAAATTTAAATGCTCAAAATGTCCAACAGATTTAAATTATCGAAGCATTTCGGCTGTTTGCCTCATTATGACAAAGGTGTGCAGTATACATTGGTACACGTGGCAAATATACTGCCAACACATTATTGGTGACATACAGTTTGTGCACTATCTTCCAGTGTGTGTTAGAATGCGCAGCTATTTATAATGCTTTTTTCTCTCGGGCTGCCACAGCATTGAGGAGACGCAAGCCTCGCTTAGTAAGCACAACAGATTATGCAAGAGAGCAGGAGGCACAGAATCCTATTCTGTTTCACGTCAGAACAGAATAGTCTTCATTGACAATTAAGTTGCCTGAATCCATGAGATATGTTAGGCTCCGAAGCGCACCCGGTCACCAGCGGATCAATACGTACATTCAGCTTGATCGCTGCGCTTAGTGTTGTCCTCATTCGCAGTGTCGAAGTTTACTCACCGTCAATTCAACTTGCTTGACCTCTACTCTATTTCGGGTTAATTTGGCTATTACAGGGCTGCGTTGGCCACTGGATACTTGAACTCCCCGTGTTGCGGCAGTCACTCACATTTACTATACACCATGGAGGAGGCGATCCGCAAATATGCTGTGAAGACCAGGATTACTAGGGAGCCGGTTGGACTTTTTCAACCCACAATCCTTGCACGTGCGAACGAATTCGTGCGATAATCCCCCCAGTCATATAATCTTCATGTACTTTCGATACAGCATATATCAGCAGGGAGGATTCGCACTGACAGTACTTATCTCTTGGTCGGTGAGTTCCTGTTAGTTGCTTGGCGTTGTGAAATTTGACGAAGCGTGCACTCACAGTAGGAGGGCTGGACTGACGACGCGATTGAATACTCTGAAGAGTAATGTGCTCAACTCACGAGACAATGTAATTCCAAGCGCTAAGATGCCTATATGATCAGGGCAGCCAACTACATCTTCTGATGTGAAGGCGACGCCCGGTGATCCCACTGCTTGTTCGATGAGCAGACTTTACAACCTGGCAGCGGAAGCACATTTTGAAGGAGTATTCATGTACCCCAGATTTCGAATGCTACGGAAGCTAATGGCTGAGTTAACTTCGAGCGCCAACTAAGCAACAAACTCGTCCGCTTTGGTACAAACATCTACGAGGTAAAAGGCCGAAGAAATCAGCTCAGTCTGCCCCGCATGCGATTAAAAACATCTCTGACTTACCATGCCGAGTCATGCACTCAAGCATGCTGCACTGATAATCGATTTCCGCTAATGTGACAACTGGCAGACACGCGCCACTGGATATGCCCGCCTATTGGGTGATATCTCTAAAGTGCCATCACGTACGAGTCCCGAGATGATGTGAGAAATGGTTCGCTCTAGTAGGCAGTGCTCAGAGAAATTGTGAGCACTTGCGCCCTGAGGAATGTGTCCATTTAATCCAGCCGGTAGTTTGAGCCGAGCGCCATGGCAGGATGCCCGTCGCACCTGATTCAATTTCGCTTACCGTGTGCGCCACACAAAAGACGGCGCAAAACCATACGGCGCCTCAAAGTACTCGAGAAAAATCAGACAAAAATTTGCCGTTTTTTCACCAGAATTGGGAACCATAGTTTTACTGACTTTCACCGACTTCCTGGAACCGTGGAAGTAAAGAGTTGTCCTGTAAGTTGATGAGTGAATTGTATCTTTTAACTGTGCTTGGGTTTACTAACTAAGGTTTGTGTTCATCTCGCATTCATCCATGTGCTATCTGCAAATGTTGGTTAGGCTAATAAAACAACCAGGGAAGAAACATTGTATTTTCAGAGAGATTTACAAGCGTAATCAGTAGACAGAAGTTAGCTCCTAAGAAAATGCAGACAAGTAACCGGTAACGCCCGCGACTAAGTCCTGCTAGTTATAACCTTTCGTCCTTCTGCCTTAGTTGCAAGCTACCGGACACTTACTACCAACCAAAGACATTAGTCCGACTACTGCAGCGTGCTCCAGCACCGACTACACGTAAGCCTCCCTGCTTGGTGCGCACAACAAGTAGTCCATTGTATTCTGAAGTGAGTTGTAAATGATTTCTTTGTACAGGGGAAATTTTCCATTGAATCGAGTTGTGGGGTCTTGATGATATACTAGTAATGCCCATGCCAGCAGACGTCGCTACCACCATGGTCTTCTTTGCACAAACCAGTGAGCTATGACGCTTGCAGAGGTATTTAAATTGTCACTCCTAGCATAGCCCTCCACAACGGATTTCGTTACTGCAAGGACGCTTCAGATACTTATAACTGTATTAATAGGCTGAGCCGAAATTGGCAGTCTACAGAAACGTTTCAATTGTAACGTGTAACACATCAGTCTGGTATCCATTGGAAAGGCTCTGAGTAAGCTGTATGTTTCGTAATAAACACGACGTAGTCCAAAATCGATGTGTTAACCCTGGACTTGTGGCATATTGTCATGCTGTTTACGAAACCACGGCACATCGGCCGACTTGCTGGACAGCCCCAAACACAGCATTAGTTAAACGCCATTCAAGCGAAGCCTAGATAATACGAGCACAATAACGATAGTGCCACTGTGTCAGAGAAGGGGTAACCCGCTCAAGTACGTCAAGGAAGTGCGAAGGAAACCGTATTAGTGTACACTGTTGTTCATTTGTCGAATGAAAATGTATACCAACTTATGTGGTTTTATTTATGGTCTGTTCGGTTCCATGCTGGCACAGGTCCAGGTAAATTACCAATCGTGGCTCAGACGATGACCAGAGTAATCAGAAGTGTTAATGAAGAGTCACAGCATAGTTTCGTAATGGCATGACAAATATTTTCAAAAACACGAGAGGTGTGTTTTTCACGGTGCCTCGATATAAGGGTTATTGCGAATTTAAGTAAGTTGGCCGACGTTGGAGAACTCCACGCCTCACATCCGTGGGCCCTCGTCATGATTAGAAAAACCTGGTTTAAACTTGAGATAACTGATTCTGAGATCACTTTACCCTGTATATCGCTACTTCGGAAGGATAGAACTGGAAGGAGTGATGGTGAACTTATTTATTATAATGCAAATCTCCGATGTTATCGATCACCCGGAAATTCGCGCGCCTGATTCGCTCTGGTGTCGGCTATGTTGCAGAAGAAGGCCACATGTCTACTAGCCGTAATGTATCGCCCACCGAACTCAACGTCGGAAGTGGACTCAAAACTGAATCAAGTTTTTCAGGTTGCTTTGAACAAGTCCTGCAGCCATATTCTTATTGTTGGAGATTTTAATGTGTACGATATGGAAACGCCAGCAACCGATAGTGTGCATTTTAAAGCCTGCTTGTAAGATCTAAGTTCCAGCCAACCGCTGTGCAATCACGTAACATTTTCCACCAGAATTCGTACTGCTAACTGACCGTCGATATTTGATCTTGTGCTCACTAACGAAGAACTCGTGGTCGACGGAACAGTTACGAGAACATCATTGGGTGGCAGTGGCCATGTTACTCTAATGTTTGACTATGCATGCGATACGGGATATTGCGAAAGGGAGTATTAGGTAGTATATATTGTCACGCACTACAACGTGTTATCTACGCTTGTTAGGGGTACATCGACTTTATTAACCGATTGCCCCCAGACGTTGCCTGGGAAACATTCACCAAGACGTTTAGTAGACGGATACTGCAAGCATCGGAACAGAAGTTCGCCCAACGTAAAAGCAAATATAAATCATTTCCGAGGATCAGAACACGTAAATGTTTCTCACAACGATTTTTTATGGAGAGCTCACTAACACTGCCCCAATGCCGACACTTGTACTGCACACATGGCATCTCGTAACTTGTGTGTGAGATGTATCCGCGAGTACAAGGTGACGCATCTGCAGGAGTTAATGTGTTCATTCTCCACGAAGTGCACTCCTACACAGGCACGTTAATGGCCTTCGAACGGTGAACCGCGGAATTCCAACACTGGTCACGGCTAATGGACGCATGCGGTCAGCAAGGGAAGCAGCCGACCTCCTATGGCTTCATTACTCCCAAACTTTCCAGCAGGTAACGAGCCTAAGTATGCTCCTCGTATCTATCACTCCACCTTCGAGATTATATAACATCACCTTCATTGCGGAAGCTGTGTTGTAAAACTTGTTATCTCCGCGTATCCACAGTTCTCCTGGAGTCAACAACATCCTACCGAAGGCTCTGCAAGCAGTAGCCAGTGATCTAACAGAACCACTGGGCGTTTCTAGCAGCGAACTCTTGAAGAGAACCATATTCCATCAGTATGGAAGCAAGGGGTGATCACTCCTATTCATAAGAGATGTGCCCTCACGGACCCAACCAATTACCGCCTAATATCGCTAATTCTTATGCCTTCCAAAGTTAGGAAATCAATGATCGCAAATGCGCTGATGCATGATCTGGGAAGCCAAATTTAATAGCCACAGAGTAACATGGCTTCCGTCAAAATGGTTCATAAACTACTATCCTATTACTTGCACGTAATAGCTGGGCTGAAGCCGTTGAGGATGGTGCAGTAGCCGTTGTCATCTCCCTGGACTTCTGAACAACGTCTGATGGCTTAGACCATCGAATTCTCCTTCACAAGTGGCAGCACTACGGCACTGGCGACCCAATCCTGAGTTGGATAGGCCATTTCTACACGAAGTTCGGTTGGAGGTAAGAGTCCGGGAATCTCTGTCCGACACAATTGATCTGGGGTGCGGTTTACCACAAGAATCCGTGCTAAGGCCTTGTCTATTCTATGTGTTCATAAACCATCTAGCGGGATCAATTGCTTCTGAGTTCCTGTTCTTTGTAGCTGAGATCAAGAGATGGCGAACAATCCGGGTATCGGACGACCCCAAACTGCTCCAGTGCGATAGTATCGAGATTTCGAACTGGTCAGTTCAGAACGCCCTACCACTCAAACTAGGCAAATGTCGCATTGTGGAAATCACACGTAGTTGCTTGGGGCACACTGATTGCAGACCAGTTCCCAGGAACGTGACCTTGGCGTGTTCGGACAGAGTAACTTCAAATTTTCAAAACAGGCTGAGGTAGCTGTGAAAAAGGCAACCAGCATGTCGGGCTGTTGCGAAGGACATTAGGGAAACATAACCCATCAACCTTCTTAATGATGCACCATTCCTACGTGTGCCCTCACGTTGAATACGCCATCCGAGCTTGGCAACCTTGGTTGAGGCATGACCTAGAAGCGTTAGAGATGCCACAACGAAGAGCAGGAGAGCCTGTAAATGGTCTGCACACTCTTACCAGCGAAGTCTGAAGCTGTTGGGAATTTTTAATGGACACTACCGAAGACTGCGAACCGATCTAATATTGAGTGACCTCAAACGCGTATGTCGCCATTTGCTGAAACTAAGTCACAGCACGTAGCTCAAACTGGTAGAAATTAAGGGAACAATGCAGCCAGCTTGAGTATCGACGGAATTAGTTTTCCTTCTGATTCGCCAACCCTGGAGTTTTCTCACAGACTCAATTGTATCCTCCCCTACTGCGGACATTTTAGAATAACGATTTAATGTTGTTCTTAGCTCCCACACTTCTCTACCTAAATTATGCTATTGTGGATTACGTTAATCATGCGGAATTTATGTGTTATATGGACCCAAGGAAGCGGCCCATTAGAAAGCTATCACAGTTTACATTTTTCACACGTTACGTTAACGATCACTACATCCCGTAAAGTTCTGTATGCTTTCACTCTGTTTTTACTCTACACTAACGCTATTTATCAATACACTTATCTCGATAAACGCTCGACAGATAGTCCCACACTTTTTAATTTTATTCTACTCACACCAGCCATCCTACGGAACATATAAAGCATTTACTTTTAACCCGCGTTAAATCCTTATTCATAGTTCAATATAGTCGTCTAGGTTGTTGACGTACTTGGTTTCCTCTCCGGGTTTTCCAACCCTAGAAGTTCCTTTTAAACTCAGTTGTCTTTGTCCCCATATAACTCATTTAAAACATGCACTTGGATATGGCGCTCCTCTACCTACGTTTTATGATGTGAGTGGATGCCCTGTGCCATATCCTGACTAGCTACCTTCTTGGAATTATAATCTACACTGAAGCACGTGATTCAGTAGATGCGGGTGAGGAAACCGATTGTTCTTTACCATGAGCATCACCACCTTGACCTATTATTCCGTTTTGCATGGATCCATCACCTTTGAACAAACCTGCTTCTAATATGCTATTACTCTGTCGCTTCACGGATGTGCGTTTTATTTTGCCCGCAATCTATGGACACTCTTTACTGACCCTAAACTACTTTTCCACTGTTCCATCTGATAGTTTTCAATATATCTCACAACTGCATTGGTAAAACACCAGTGCAGCGCAGTGAACATGACTCGTATGGTATGTTCACAGAAGGGTCTAAGCGCATGGTGCTATCCGTTTCCAGGTAGTGTTGGAGCGCCACCGAACATTAGCGTTTGGCAGGGGATCATGGATGCTTTCGCCCCACTACTCACAGCTGCCCCCATGCACCCACCCACCCACACACACACACAGACGAGTGCGAACCCGAAGGAGTGTGACCGGTTGTCAAACGGATACGTGCCACGATTAGTTCCAGGTAGCCCACATTCCTCGGAGACGCACATTACTGCCCTAAGGTAAGGGAAACGTTTCTGAGCTTTGCACTATTCTCCGAGTTGAAGGATTATTTTGCAAAAGTTTCCATGCTCTGCGGAACAGGACCTTAAAGCCGCACTGATGATGTTGCCTAGTCTGGCAGCAAAAGGTCTACAAAATAATCATACAGCTCAGAGAGCAGAGCAAAATCCCCATTTCTATCTCCAGCTAGGGATATTCTCAACCATTTCAAGCGAAACCTGTGTTCCAGAAATACACAGGGTGGTGATTGGGCCTTTGAACAGCTCGTGCTCGAGCGCATTTGTTGGTCCAAAGGTTTAGGATGACTTGTTGTACTGGTAGCTCGGGTTGCTCGTTCCGAGTTTCACCTGTTCACCCAGCTTCGTGATTGGTTTACAAACGTTTAATCACCAAACCTGGTGACTTCCTTAGTGCGCTATTGGGTCGAATGCAGTCCACTGATTTGGTCGTTGATTTGTGATCGACCGGCAGGTGACTTTTGAATTGACCTCCTCGATCTCTGCTCCATGGCCATCACTCGTTTGCCCAATGTCTCTGGTAGACACAGGCGATTTGTGAGGTAGTGTTGACCTAGATGTTGCGGTTGTGATGTTGATGGCTCCTTTGGCTGCCCACGACAGTGTTCAAGCTGCTTTAGTTCTCTCCATCATAACGTTTGGTAAACTGCGTCAACCTCGATGTGCATGCTTATCAAGTGCTTCCACGAATACCGTGCTTCGAGGAAACCTCTTCTTTTTCGTGTCGCTCCTTGTCCTAGGATCTCTGGTTTGTTCATATCGGAGCGATTTCCTCCTTCGACCATATTTGATGAAACCAGAGACAGCGTGTTAGCTATTACAAGGCCTCTTATGCCCTTGTACCATTATTGAAAGTCGCCTTCCTGGCTGACCCACATAGTTCTTATCGCAATCTTGACACCTTATCTTGTACACAACATTTCATCTTTTGTGAACTCCAGGTCTAGCTTTGAATTTCGACAGTCTTCTCCTCACAGTGGCAAATTGTTTATGAGCCAATGTAAGACCGTCCTGTTTAAGTACGCTTGTTGACATCTCGGAGATTTTCTTTATATAATGTAGAACGATTCTCTTTGTTGTCATTTGAGCAGGCTGAAAGGTCGTAGCTTTGTTGCTTAGTCATCACCAGACGAAGCTGTGTGGATAGCCGTTTAGGAGAAATGAATGGATACCTCTTTTTCCGTTTTGCTTCAAGACTGCGACAATGTGTTTCACTTTTACGAAAGGGAGTTTGCACGCAACTTATTTGGTGACATTTCGAGTGATGGCTGTAGTAGTTTAGAAGTTGGTCGATGTGTCTTCATTTATGGTAAACCGACCTTCGCATCTCTCCGTCAATCGTCCTGGTGACCAATACATCCAAAACTGAGAGCTGGTTAACCAACTCTGATAATATCGCAGTGAATGTCCTCTATACCGCTGTTGGGCAACTGACGTGCAACCTCTAGTTGACTTCGTTTCAGTATCACGAATGCGCCATCGACCTATCGGATCCATAACTTTGGGTTGATTATGAGCAGCACATTCGCTTCAAGTTTCTGCATTACAGTTCACTAACAGGGTCATACCCCGCCGTCTCCATAGTTACTCGCGTCTTATTAGCTGAGCACCGAGCGACTGATCAATAAATTTCGACCTTAACAATCCTATCACTCACCAGGTTTGGCCACACCTTTTTGAATGCCAATGTTTCAGGTATCAATATAACACTACCATTCCGAGTGCAAAGTCCGGAATGCTTGGAATCTCCGCTGATCAAACTGCGGTGCATCACATAAATCGCGATCCCAGACTCCGCGACTATGACCAACCATCAGGTTGCACACGTTAAGCGTACCTAGCTACGGCGTAATGACATTTAAATGAACGAAGAACAGCCACTGATTCTGGGCGGTGCTGATGTTCAGTAGATGCACCTGGTCCAAAGAAGTACACGTTGCAAATGAAGCCTCCAGGTGTCGCCTCATCCCTGAGCTTCTGTCCCATTAATCTGTTTACTCATACTTGGTGGATGCTGGTGTCTTGTTTACGTCCTTTGAAGCAATAAGTGAATTGTTAATTGGGGAGCATCCGAGTCCAATTCACATGGATGGGCGGCATACCGCACGTGACCTCTAGCCTCCAGCGATTATATTAAAAGGTGAACCTGAAGTCGAATTCGGACAGTGGAAAATCAAGCGGTTTTTATGTTGAACCAGAATGCACGCAAAACGTTCTCATTAGCGTTAAGCTGATCTTGGAAAGCGTCTCTTTTCCACTACTATACAGTCACTGTCGGTGGGAAGTCACTGTCGAATGAAAACATCTGCTCGCGACTAATGTCGCACCCAGCGGATTTCTGCCATTAAGGATCAGTTTGCTTATCTGTTAAGGCTCAGTCCAAGTGCATTCATTTGGTCACTGTGCTAAGGCACAACTCTCGAACTGCTTTCTGCGGCCCTCCCAGACTCTGCAAGAGACACTGGTTTTCAGACAACGAAACGGCGCATGATGACGATAATTTGCACCACCAATGACGTTAGTACTTGTGATGTCCTCAGGATCGGCTGCTTCGTTTTCACGAAATCCGTTGGCAACCTGGAAGCGTCCTTCCCGCAATAATGCCCACCCAGTTTTGCTTCCGCTGTCTCGTTAAGGCAAGTTACTCTATGTTCATTGATCCGGGATACACTGGTTAATCTGATTGATGTGTGCGTGGGGGAAGGGAGCTGCAGTACCCACAGGTGTAATAGGGTCATACCTGTCTTAAATTACAGTACTTCAGATATGCTGACACATTCACTCTGAATGGTGGTTTTGCGGCTTTCAAGTCAAAATTCTTCTTACCGGCTTCCAGCGGGAGTGTGATAGTTCTTCATACGTTCTTTACAACCAAGCCTCCAGGACATTTGGAGCATCGATGTGTTTGTTGCAGTGTGCACTTTTAATCCGTTGGTCACTGATTCTCAGAACCTAAACACCTTCACAAGCTAGTATTTTTGCAAGTGCTCGTGCCTAGTTAGTTACTATTTTTATCCTTCTTGCTGTCTAGTTTTTGTATGGTACGATACGCGATTCAAAACCGATGCACACTTGACATGTACTAATTGATGTTCATGGACTTTAGGCAGACACACAGCGGTCCCAGGAAGAGAACAAATTATCCTACCGAAGGCACTCTCAATGGATGAGAACATGGATGGATACTCGTCTTCACCAAGATCCAAAACACAAACGTTCCCTGGATTTGACGACTAACCGTTCCAGTGTCTCAAAAAGGCGCCTTACCTTCGCGGAACTGGAGCCGCATGCTGAAGACGTAGGAAAAGAAAATGCCATCGTTGGACTCTTTACGAGGCATCGGAGACCCCAAGAACCTGGTGGATTTCCTCCGAACATGCAGCGACAAAAATTATGTGAAATACCGCGCCCACAAACGGAATGGAACAAGCAGAGTAATGTGCCAACAAGTACTTCAGGCTCCCAAAAAGTGGGTAAGTAACCAGGACAGAGCTGATTGGACAGATGATCCGGCAATCGCTTCATTCTGTTGCGCTGCATGCCGATGCAAGTAAACCATACATTCACGTGCAACGAGTAGTCAGATTGAATGGCGTTTTATTGCAGGACGTTTAATGGAAGTAGATAACTAGAGGAAACCCCAGGTGAGACACCTGAACAAGCTCTGTCATGTGCCCTTAAATGCTGGGTCTGGGTTCTGACATTGAGATGGGAAGCGTGACTCTCCCAGTAAATTGTTTACCAGTGTACTTGGCCACACCAAAAATATTCCGGGATTGGTTATTATGAAACCTTCAGGCGTTCACGAATTGCTTTGGCTTTTCGGTACGTGGCCCCAAGCTAACAGAAAGCGCGATGTCATTGCTTACCGAACTCTCAAATCGGGCACCAGGAAATCCAGCGAAAGCATAGCGGGAGCCTGAGTCTGATTGTTTCCGATTGGATCTTCGCGGTGCCCTAACGAACCGTATACTTGGTGGGCGCTCTTGACAGAGAATGCGTGGAACATGCTATAAACCTAGTTGGTGGCACCTTCGGGGGTTCCTGTGACTCAAGATATTACATGAATAATTCGAACATACCAACGTTAGATACTCGACGGAAACAGTTTTACTTCTAGACTATCAACCGTTGGTTAACCCTCCCGAGTCAACTAATGAGGTTTATTTAGTGTAGCAAGAGGTTTTCTTTTCAGTTTCCATGCGTAAGTACAAGTGAAAAATATCGACGAATCTCAAGTGCGTGTCAGCTGTTCTCAGCACCGACTCTTCCTTTAAAGAAATCGTGTTGGACAGCCACAGCAGTGAATTGGTAAAGTACGCAGGTATAGGTAGAACTTCGACACATCTAGACTCAATTAGAAAGCCATCACACACCCGAGAAAGCACTGTATGCACGTTTCATCTTTTCGGAACTCGTCAGCAGTGCGCGTCCCATGGGACCCTGGTAGGGCTGCAACCCACAACTCGACTGTTACAAGTCCGTGGTTGAGACCACTGAGCAACGGGGGAGGACAACGACCATCGTGAATAAGTTACTAGATGTGATATAGCGCCGCTCACTCTCTATTGAGTTGCACGTTACTACGGTGCAGAGGGCAGGATAGCCCCTTTACCAAGCGACGAACTTACCAAACTTAAGCAGTCAATTAATCTATAGCATTATAAGCAGTTTGGTCGGCGTACTGATTACAGAGGAGTAGCAGGGGGATTTGTTTGGTATAGGTAGAACTTCGTCACATCTAGATTCATTCAGAAAGCCAACACACATCCGGAAAAGCACTGTACGCATGTCTTGGCTGTCTGAGTGAGTCTAAATATGACGAAGTTCTACCTAGTCTAACTAGCCTACTCAACTTCTCCTAATACTCCTCTGTAAACAGTACACAGACCAAACGGCTTATAATGCCATAGGTTAATTGGCGGCCTAAGTTTGGTAAGTTCGTCGCTTGGTAAGGGGGCTACCCTGTCCTCTGCACGGTAGTAATGTGCAACTCAGTGGAGAGTGAGCGGCGCTATCTCATATCTAGTAACTTATTCACGATGGCCGTTGTCCTCCCCCATAGCTGGGTGGTTTCAATCACGGACTGGCAACAGACGGGTTGTGGGTTCCAGCCCTACCAGTGTCCCATGGAATTCGCACTGCTGACAATTTCCAAAAGGATGAAACGCGCGTACAGTGCTTTCTCGAATGTGTGATGGCTTTCTGAGTGAATGTAGATGTGACGAAGTTCTACCTATACCAAACAAATCCCCCTACTACTCCTCTGTAAAAAATGTGCACAGGGTCGGACGAATCCGCATTCTGATGAGTTCGGAGAACGCACTTGACTTACGCTTAGCCATCACCTGCTTAGGAGTTGACAATAGCCTATAAATCCAGCAACGTTTCTGTTAGCTAGTACTGCGTAGGTACAGACAGCATCTCCGAGACCAATCGGGGACTTGGACATCCTCATCATCATCACTATACACGTTAGCTAGAGGTGGGAAACACCTCGGCTATTGTGCCGCAATACATAGAAGAAAAAAGGGAAAATATTGAAACTGGTGCAAGCCAGCTGAGCTACCGGTAAGGGATGGGCATCGTTCCGATAAGCTACTAGCCGGCTACTGTGCATCAAAAAATTGCTATACAAAATTATATAAGGCTTGGACAAGAGTAACTGGTAGCGTACAGAGTTTAGCGCCGGTAAACCCACCCTGGTCTTTGTGGGTTGGCAATTCGCTCTGCTGGTGATTGCCATCTGATTAGCACAACATCTACGCAGTTTACCTTTTAGACAAAAGCAAGCTGGGTTCCGCTTATCTTCAAACTACGTCGAACATCTTTTCTGCCACGTTGCCATAATGTAATGCCCGTGGTATCCACGTCACAGTCTAGCCAATAGTTAAAACGAGCCCCATCTAAGTCGGCACGGGAGTGTCATCGTACACGCTAACTGACTCGAAAACTTCCCCAACAAGGCGACAGATCTCTTTGGATATCCATGCAGCGGACTTTTTTGACCCGCTCGTACAACTTGTTTACGAACTGTCTCCAACAGCTGCACCATAAGCATACAAGCTGAGGCCACCGCAAGCTCTTATGAATGGTTGATCTACCCAGTAGTGTGAAATGTTCCCTTCTTTTGATAAAACAAAAAGCGAACAGGTGATTGATTGTGCATTAATTCTGGTATTTGCAATCTTTCTATTACGAAGCGGTAATATAGCTACTAAGCGCCATGATAATTCTCGTTAACACTACCGTGTGTTTTATGGATAAGCAACAATGACTTTCTCGCGCATACGAGCTGTAACTCTTTCATCTTTCTCAGATGCGCAGTGCTCCTGTACAGTCGAAAAGGTCATCCAACTGGATCTGCTCAGTTTGTCCGATGACAAACGCGTGGCACAGGCGCGGTCCGCTTGGTCCCGCAAACACGCCAAAAGTATCCCATCCACACTAGAAGTTGTCCCAGTCCAGACAAGGGAACATGCTTTGCGCGTGTGCGAGAACACTCGCCTACTGGGTACTATGTTCCATTACCCAGTGTCCGCTACGCTTGTGCAGGACTCCGAGCGCAGTACACCCACTCACCGGGGGTCTGAGGGTTCGCGCTTGAATAGCCATATACGCACCCGAAATACGCTCAGCTTTTGGCTCCCAAGGTCTCCTGTGGATGACGTTCGACTGGATGAATTCCATCAGAATCACGAAAGGGTGAGTCTACACTTTTTTGTCCTACCGCAAAGCACCATCGTCTCTTTATCGCTTTGACTATAAATAACTACATAAACGGTATATTCCTCGATGGTGTAAGGCACAGTCCGATTGAGTGGTCTGATCAACGTGTACAACGAGGTCACATAAAGTAGGTACTTGTTCACGCTTGATACAATGGATCCCAACTGGACTTTTAGCGTGATCGGCAGATTGAAGACCTTGCGGAGATTAAGAACTTGGGAGCCATAACCAAAGCAGATTTAACCAAACGTTCAAGTAACATAATACATGTATCCATGGAACCGTCCCCAGCAGACGTGCTTCCCTGAGAAGGTCTAACTCAAAATTCTATGCTCCATCTAGTTGTTCGCTGGTGCGGCAAAATAACATGTAGGTCAGCATGTGTTTAACAATGTTTTAAGGCTGTTTTATTCATACGTTATGCGCGATCACGCCACTCCGCCCGTCCCAGCATTCTTCTATTCTGAGCATGGCACTACTTTCGTTTGCATGCCGGAAAGAAGAGAGTGCAGTATAGTTCGTAGTCCATCGCGACAGGGCGGCAGTGGCAATGCACTTTGCAAGAGTATAATTTGTAGCTTAAAGCTTCGATCCGTCACTTCAAGAGATCAGCCCATTCCTGACCAACGATGAATTAAGTAAGGATATAAAGTAAAAGGAATTAAAAACAGTATGTAAAAAGTATAGTTATTTGCAAATAGACTAAGCGTGTCTTGACCGCGCCTCTTCTCTAATTACGACAATGGCACTAAAATTTCGTGAGAAACAGTTTTGAACTGTTCAGGGTTTGTGAAGAACAAAGAGTAGTATAGAGAAACTAACGGCAGATTCTAACATCTTGGCAGTTATAGGTGCTTTATCGTCAATTTTGATCAATGGAAGCCTTCAGAATGGGAAGAGTTCAAGTCAAGTCAAAGTATGCTTTATGTACCAGGATAGATGCACTTTCAGCATGTTACCCTAGTACTGTAAAGAGTGAAGTATATGAAATTATGGTTACAGAAAAAACGCGTAAACATCTCTACACATATCACACGAGCAAATACTTTCGCATTATACTGATAGTTTCGGTTGGGTCAACAACAAGCGGGACGGGTACGGTAGAACAGAATTGCGGTAAGATGCAGGACGTAAAAATAAAGTCTTACATTTGGAGTGGATAGAGGAAATAGATAATGTTTTTGATAGGTCACAATTAGGTAAATGAAAAGTGTCGTTTAGAATTTTTGAAGAGAAACTGATAAAAGCGTCTAGGTGTTTGTTGATAAGAAATTCCACAATGCAGTCGCTAGCCAATCCGCTGCACCTGAAAATAAGCTTTATGGACTGTACAACCAGCATTTAGTCATTTGCTGTGAACCCGGAAAGATTACAGGGGAACAGTAGAACCAATGTGGCAGTATACATGTAGTCACAAATCTAAAAATCAAATCAGGGGATACTGCAACTACTTTAAGTCCAAGGGCATAAAATGACAACCGTCTAACCTAAGAACACGTTATGGCCATGTGAATAGACCTAGAGAAGTTTCGGGATAAAATGACCCACAAAAGTATAATACTTGCCGAGCTGGGTCTCAACTGATCACCAACTGCCAATGGAGAATTGGCGTCCAAAGTAAGTTGTTACTTGTCAGCTCCAAGATCCGAGCACGTTAAGTCACGACATTTAGGGAGGATCAAAATCAGGAAACCGGATAAGGACCAAAACACTAGGTCAACTAGAGCATTTTGAAAAATAGGTGTCACAGCGATTGGAGTTACGCTTCCAAATACGATATCATCAGAATACCTACATTCGATAAAGGTAGATGGTTTGGGGAGTTTTGAATGCATGAGGAAAATGGAGCGGGTGAGAAGATGGCTCTCGGTAAACACCACGACTAGAGAGTAATGCAGACGACTTCTCAATATTGATCGGGGTGAACTGAGTGCGGATTGTGAAGTAGTATATAACCAAGCTGCAAACACATGTTGGAACCCCATCTGCAGACAGCCGGTTAAAAAGGATCGATGTGTCAACGCTGTCGAAAGCATCTGCATAGTCAAGAGACAGGGGGCGAACTGCCCCGCTGCTTACATCCACTGCAGATGTCACAGTTTAGCAATTGTGGAACTAACGCTCAGTGGCTGACTCTCCGCCGAAGTAGCACAAAGCAAAACACATCAGGCACACGGAACGCAAAACTGTATTCTAACCGGTATGTTGATCCACTATTCTAAACGAGGCCAATCGATAAGTGGGTGAGCGGGTTACTGACACACGCCAGAGGATGCAGGCGACGAATATGATGGACCCAGTACCTTGGCCGTGACGATGCCACATTCCTTCTTCCTTTTGTTTGCCCCACTCCAGCTAGCATGATATCGGTCGACGGGTCGGCTTAGCCGAGTTGAACTGCCACATTGCTGAGCCTCCGATTTCTGTTTTGCGCGCGCGTTTGTCAACTCATTATGCTGGGCTGAGGACACGTCATCTGGAGGAGTTGAAACGGGACGAGGACAGGCGTGATGCTTGGGCCGAGTAACTACTCTGCCATGAAATAAAGCCACCTCCGCATGTTGCCTGCAACTTCGCGTAACTTGCCATGCTACCAAGTCGTTTCGTCAGGCAACTTGATGTAGACCAGTTCATTCTCACAGCATTTACGATCAGAAGCCTTCTGGTCGTACGTCGTCTCAGATGTATCTTGCTCAGACTCAACACGTAGCTCCTGGTCAGGAAACAGAAGATCCATTCGTGCCCTCAACCTGAGGGCAGCATGCGGCACACGGATTTTCCTTTAAAACTACGTTTCAGCCGGAGATAGTTAGTTCGATGTCTGCGGATTTGGAGTTGTGCGATAGGTCAGCAGAAATGCGTCAAGAATCTCTTCCAAGGTAATTTCGCCTTTCATTTTTAGCAAGGCTCTTTTGAGTGTATCCACAAAGCGCTCCGCTTGCCCGTTCGATTGTGGGTGTAAAGGTGGAGGCCTTACATAGACCATCACGTTTCTGCGATAGAGGACAACAAACTCAGTGGAGGCGAATTTTGTTCCATTGTCCGAAACCAGCGTGTGGGGAACACCGAAACTGGAAAATACCTGTCGGAGAACAGAGACAGGTAGCTGCTGCGGTAGTTCTCACCATTGCAGTCACCTCTGGCCATTTACTGTAGGCATCGAAAACAATGAGAAAATGATGACGGTCAATTGGACCTGCAAACTCGACTTGTACCCTTGGTTCCGTTAGTATTGGCTAGGATTTCAATTCCGTCTTCCTTGGCTGTTTAGCGACACTAGCACATCGGGGATAAATCTTCTTTAAATTTTCGATCTGGAAATCCATATACGTCCAATACACTTAGATGCGTACCAGCGATTTCATGCGATTCCTGGGTGTCCAGTATGAAATTGTCGAAGGACTTTCTCTTAAAGAATGAGAGGAATGACGACGCGATCTGAGAACAGCAGACAATTGCTGACGACAGAGTGCTTCCTTTTGTTAGTGAAATTGTTGAAGCTCCGGCGTTGTAACTCACTTTGGTCAGCTATTGAGGTGGAAATCGATCACTTGGTGTAGGGTAGAATCATGACTAGTCGCTTCCTGCACCGTTATGAACGTTACTGGTAAGGCACCGAAAATGTCAGACACAAGTGGATTGACTTGGGGTTCTACGGCGATTTGAGCAACTATCAAATCCTCTGGTTCTTGAGGATGTGTACCAATTAAACGAGAAAACGCATCCACTTGACCAATGTTGGGTGTAGATTGATATTTGACGACAAAATCGTATGCAAGTAGAACCATTAGCCAGCCTGGAAGGCGACTATCCGTAGACTGGAATGTCTTTCATTAATCCAAAGATTGTGATCAAGGGTTTGTGCTTAGTGAAAAGCGTGAATTTTCGTTCATAGAGTATTTTGTGAAATCGCTTGACTGCAAACGCTATAGCCAACGCTTCATTCTCGATCTGCCCATAGTTGAGTTCCGCTGGGGTGAGTGATCTGGCTGCAGGTGCCACAGCTTTCTCCGAACCATTGAAAAATATGTGGAATATGACTGCTCCAATCCCGCAGTCTGACGCGTCAGCAGCAACCACGAACTCCAGCTCCGGATTGAAATGCGTTAGCAATAGGTCAGAAGACAACGTAGACTTGACATTACCAAATGCGGCTTGAGGTTCAGGAAACCATAGAAATTTGCGATCCTTTACCAGAAGTTCATTGCGCGGTCCTCGAAGCCGATGCATTTTGGGCACAAATGAGCTGTAATGACTGATCAACCCCAAGGATGATCTGAGCGGACGGTTTGACTGTTGTAGACAGTGAACCGGTCTGGATCGATATTTGTCGCGTAAGAATTTCGGTCAGCCTGAGTTGGGATGCCTCAAATTGTGCTTGTTGCTGCAACAGAATGGCCTTGAGCTCGTCAGCCGATAGGGACATCTTGATTAGGGTTCAACACGTCGCCAGCTGAAGTGTTCGTCCCTCGCGGAAATGGACCCTTGGTTCCCAATCAAAGCCCGAAGTGGATGCCCCCCCCCCCACAGGACAGACAGAAGACCGGATCGGATGAGCAGAACAACAGGGATGTATTAGCGGATCACATCGTGCATTATAAAGGCAAAATGGAAGTTCGTGCATAGTATTAAAAGTGCACGTGGAAAGCTCTGGAAATGTTAACTTACAACAAATCAAGGAACGCTCCCCTCGCGTCAATTAGCCTCTTCACCCGGTTGGCTCTCCGTTCGCCCCAATCAGGGTGGAGTGAGTTTGGATCGCCTGCCGAGGGGATGGGGCCCCGGCTTGTTCGTATCGCGTATTCCTTCCTAACAAATCCTATGTGTGTATTGATGGTGGTAATTTCCTTTGAAGATTTCTGTAGCTTCACTTGAGAACAGGCATGTGTTAGAGCAAATTTCGAGAACATTTTATCCACTTGACAAAGGTCATCTAACTATGGAATGGGACAACGTTCAGTCACCTTGGCTTGCTTGACTGCCAGTTTATAGTCTCCGCAAATGCTAATTGAGCCATTATACATCTGTAAAGG